CCACCTGAATCAAATGTATGAAACATGATATGTCAAGAGCTTTGTAATGTTTTGAACAACCAATTAAAAAAATAAAATAAATTTAAAAATTTTAAAAAAGATATATATATCCAAAAAGATCTGCAAAACAGGGGCTGGAATCATGACTTGGCGGTACAGTGCTTGCCTAGCACCTGTGAGGCACTGGGTTTAATCCTTAGCACTACATAAAAATAAGTAAAATGAAGGCATTGTGTCCATCTACAACTAAAAAAGAAAAAAATAATAAAAATAAAAGATTTATAATGGGCTGGGGTTGTGGCTCAGTGGTAGAGCACTCACCTAGCATGGGTGAGGGCCTGGGTTCAATCCTCATCGCCACATACAAATAAATAAAATAAAGGTATTAGGAAAAAAAGACTTATAAAACAAAAATTGCCTTACAGTATTAACATGGGTAGTAGTATTTAAGAACACCTTTAAGGGGCTGGGGATGTGGCTCAAGCGGTGGCACGCTCGCCTGGCATGCACCGGGCGCTGTGTTTGATCCTCAGCACCACATAAAAATAAAATAAAGACATTGTGCTCACCGAAAACTAAAAAAATAAAAATAAAAAATTTTTAAAAAACACCTTTAAAGAACAGTCAACAGAGGTTCAGGATTTAGGGCAGTAGCAGAATGTTTGACTAATATACATGAGGATCTAGATTCAATTTCTAGCACTGTAAAAACAAAAACACACAATTAATGTGAGGTATAGCAGGCAATAGGGATAAAACAATCAGCACTGAAGAGAAAGTGGGCTGTTAACAATTTTCATTCACACACACAGGCAAGAAAAGTCAAACCATAAAAATTAAAACTGGTCTTCAAACATATACCTAAATAATGATACCCAGAAGATTTTTTTATTATCTGAAGTTCCTACTCAGAGTCACATGTACAAGATGGTTTCACTTATTATTCTTTATTTTGTTTTTAAAACGCAACAAGTGTTGAATCATAACAAACCAAAAATGTAATATTGATGACTCAAAAACCTCAAAAATGATTTACTTTTTATCCCCCCCCAAAAGAGTGCCAACATAGCAAAACCCCAAAAAGTTTATGTGGTTTCAAATGTTAATAGTAACTGCCTTCAAAAGCCAATTAAAAAAATTTTTAAAAAGATTTCCAAGTCCCTAACCACACAATTAAGTGTGAGGAAGAATACAAAGTCACTTTTCAGAACGAAAAAAAAAAAAAAAAACATTAAAAATTTACTTCTCAGGCAGTCTTTCCCAAAGAAGTTACTAGGATGTGTGCTCTACCAAAACAAAACAGCAAGCTAAATAATAAGATGATATAATAGGAGTATTAAAAAAAAAAAAAAAAAGGGCTGGAGATGTGGCTCAAGCGCGCTCGCCTGGCATGTGTGCAGCCCGGGTTCGATCCTCAGCACCATATACAAAACAAAGATGTTGTGTCCGCAAGATAAATAAATAAATATTAAAATTCTCTCTCTCTCTCCTCTTAAAAAAAAAAAACCCACAAGAGCCAAGCGCAATGGGGATAAGAAAAATAGTATAATGAAACAGACATTATTACTATATGTATGTATGTGACTGTATGATCAATGTGATTCTACAATATGTATATTTAGAAAAGTGAGAAATTATATCCCATCTATGTATGATACATCAAAGTATATAAGTGCATTCTACTGTCATGTATAACTAATTTAAAAAAAAAAAAATAGCCAAGCACAATGGCACACATCTGTAATCCCAGCCGCTCTGGAGGCTGAGCCAGGAGGATCACAAAGCCCGGGCGCAGCAAAAGCAAGGTGCTAAGCAACTCATTGAGACCCTGTCTCTACATAAAAATACAAAATAGGGCTGTGGATGTGGCTCAGCAGTTGAGTGCCCCTGAGTTCACACCCACCCCCTACCCCCTCCCCCACACACACAAAAAAAAAAAAAAACCATGAGATACAGTCAGGAAAAGGCATATCAAAGGGAGTGTCAAAGATGACTGCTGGGCACCAGGCATAAAGGTAACACATGCATCCAGATTGTAGCCATGTCCAGACAAATTGAAGGTTTTTACTACCAAGAGTCCCATGCTATACTATTTATTGACCTAAGAACATACTGCCCAAGTGAGCCTTATCCACATCTCAAGTGCACTTGGCTTATTTGGACTATATAATGACACTTCCACTTGGCACCATTCCCTAAGCAATGAATCTCTCACCTACATCCCTCTCTGCTCTCCAGTGAATATTCTGCTTTAACCTACTCCTAAAACTCAGGTGGGCTATAGTATGGCTTAGAAAAAAAAAATACATAGCAACCCATTTTCTTTGAAAATATTCCTCCTGATGCCCAGCACCTAGCCCTTCTTTGCTGCCTGATGTTCTGACTATGTTGAGCACTATGTTCCCAGGATTTATGAATGACTTTGCTCACCGACAGCCCCAAAAGGACTCTCTTATAAATCTCTTATAACTCTTATGACACTGGAGCACAACAGGTTATGCAGATTATTCAGTTCATATTCTCCTTGGAGCCTACATCTAAAAGGAGTAGTCCTGCCCTGTCCTTACAACAGCTAGATTTATGCTTGCTACATGGTTTTTCAAAACTCAAATATAAATTATTGTAGGGTACAACACAAAATGAAAAAGGGAAAAAAACACAAGAGAATGATGAACACAAATTAAGTATATTGGTTACCCTAGGAGAGGGGTGTTGTAAATGGGATAAGGCTTTTAAAGGTATTTATTCTACTTCTTAATCTGTATATTGAGGGCAAAAGTGTTCATTTTACCACTACTCCTTAAGTTTTCATGTACACTGATATATTCTTTGGTATATGTGATACAGGACTGTTATAAATGTTATAGAGGCTGTTCAGCACCAAGGTGCCTTGATGAGGAAGAGCACAGATAGAGAGGCTCATGTCTAGCCAGAAATTGATATGCTATGACCTATGCATTGAGGCAGGGTTGTTCCTGTCCCCACCCCAAAGGGTTGCCCTACCTCTACCACTGATTTACCAAGCATGTCCCCTTGGCAATCCAACCATCCAAAAGTCAGACTTTTCCAAATTCACATTGCTCTATTTTCTTTTAAAAGCAATACTTCTCAAACTTGAGTATGTATACAAATTACCTAGGGATCTTGTTAAAATGCAAACCCTAGTTTAGAAAGTCTGGGAAAAAGATGAATTACAATTACCTATCATATTTCTAACAAGCTGTCAGGCGACACTCATACTGCTATCTACATACCATACTACATTTACAAGAATTCAGATTGTTTTGTTCTCTCTCGGTCCAAACTAGAATATAAACTTAAGGTAGATAGGAACATTGTCTGCTTATTACTGCAGCCCTGATGCCTGCAACAGAAACCTGTCCATAATAAGTATTCAATAGTTTCTTGAATTAAAAGGTGTTTCCTTTTTTATTTTAATAAAATACATGTCTGATGTCCAAGTATTAAAGAGACATATTATTTTAAATGAAAATAATAAAACTACTCTGAATTTAGAAAATTATATGAAAAAAATGTTTAAAAATCTGAAACTCAAAAGCATGTACAAAGCACCAAGTCTGTTCAAAAGAGGCTTCCAAATTCCTGTGAAGTTTCTCAGAAAGTTTTTAAAATCATTCTTCAATGATATAGACAATTTTTTCAAAAAGGTAACAATGCAACTGATGTGGTTGACACGTAAGTCTCAAATGTGAAATGCTACTCATTTTAATACATCTAGCACAACATAGAACATAGTCAATAATATTTGCTGACTAAATGGAACCAATGAATGAATATCAGACAAAGGAACATGAAATCCAAAATATATACAACCAACAACTCACTTACCCAAACATCCCTAGTATTCCACCCCAGCTGACCAGGCTATACAAAACTCCCTTCAAAATAACTGCCATGACTGACCCCAGGCAGCCCCCGCTCTGTGGCCCTGAAGGGAGTAACAGAAGCCAATAGAGGGGATAACCAAGTAGCTGCCTACTGTCTGGTATGTAGCTCAGTGGTAAAGTGCCTGCCTAGCATGGCGAGGCCTTCGATGCCTAGCCACTTTCTTTTTCATTTTTTAAAGAAAAAAGGAGGAGCTGGGGCTGTAGCTCAGTAGTAGAGCGCTTGCTTACCATGTGTTAGGCACTAGGTTCGATACTCAGCACCACATAAAAATAAATAAAGGTATTATGTCTATCTACAACTAAAAAATTTATTTAAAAAAAAAGAAAAAAAAAAAAAAAAGGAGCTGCCAATTGCCCCTAAGGCCTTTGAGGGAATGGAATATAAAACACTTCTTTCTTTCTTTCCCTGTCTCTCCCTCCCTCCCTTCCTTTCTTCTATTTATTCATTCTCTCTTTCCCCTTCCGCCTGTCCCTCTCTCTTTCCAGTACTAGGGATCAAATCCAGGGCCTCACACATGCTAGACAAACACTCTAGCATTGAGCTCCCTACCTCCAGCCCCTCAAATGACATTTTAACAATAGAAAGTCAAGAACATGAGATCCCCTTAGGGAGAATGGCCCAAAATGGAATGTTCAGAAAGGCATTCTGGGCAACAAAATAGGGATATGAAGCCTCAAATAAAAAGGTAAAACCTAGTTAGGCAGAATCCCAACAACTCAGAAAGCTGAAAGGGGAGGACCATAAGTTATAGGCCAGCTTCAGCAAGTTTGAAAGACCCTAAGCAACTTTGTGAGACCCTGTCTCAAAATAAAAAAATAAAAAAGGCTAAGGAGGTGGCATAGTGGTAAAGTATCTCTGGGTTCAATTCCCAGTACCAAAATAATAACAATAATATTAATAATAAACACTGGTCTGCTATAAAAAAAATAGGAGATATAAAAGGCAAAAGCTATATAACAACCTTCTCAAGGAATACCAATACTTACAAAAGAGCAGGAACAATCTGTTCTCTTCCAGAAAAAAAGAAATAATTTTAAAAGTTGTTACTGAATATTCTAGAAATGCATAACAAATTCAGAAAAATGCTGTACCTTTCCCCTACGCCCATTTCCTCCATCTTGATCTTCCCACTGCCAGTCCACTCCTCGTACCACTCTGGCACCTGCAAAGATTCCTCTGGCTGTAATCTTCTTAGATTTTCTACGAGACTCTAACAAAACCCTAAAAATAAAGGTGTTTATTTAAATTTATATAAAAATGGGTAATAATTTATACATAAAAGGACTTACACAGGTATAAAATGTATTATACTCCTTAAGATAAAGCTACATTATCCATTTTACAAATGTAGAAATGTGAATCTCAAAAAAGCTAAATAGCAGGGCACTGTGGCACACACCTATAATCCTGGCAATTCAGGAGGCTGAGGCAGCGATCATGAGTTCAAAGCCAGCCTCAGCAAAAGCGAGGTGCTAAGCAACTCCATGAGACCCTGTCTCTAAATAAAATACAAAACAGGGGTGAGGATGTGGCTCAGTGACTGAGTGCCCCTGAGTTCAATCCCCGGTAGCCCCTCCCTCCCAAAAAGAAGCTAAATAATTTGCCCAAGTATACAAAAGTTAAAAAGGAAATGGAATCAAAATATGAATCCAGTATAATCACTTTAGAGTAACACTATACTCTTCACTGTCTTACAGGTGACAAATAAATTCCTCTATAGCAGCCATACAAATAAATAAGGGCCTAAGATAGGCAGCACTACAATGACAAATGGTAAACAGTTCTTTGCCTCAGACTTCAGAAGACAACAGCTGGTGGTAGAACTTTGGTCAACTCGTCCGTCAACTTTTGGTCAACCCACCGTCTAAAGGGTACACATCTGCTTCAGTCATTGTTGCCAAGAACAAATATAAGCCTAGTGTTGACAGTCTTTTGGGTGTGTGTGTGTTTTAAGAATCCATAAAAGATTATCAATAATTTTAAAATTTACAGTCATAATTTTAAAAAATTTTAGTATATGCCAATAAAAAACATCTGTGACCTGGATTTGACCTATGCTAAACTGTCTCCAAAATGGTGTATACTTATAGAAAATTATGGACCTTGAAAAAATTTTGCACTACGTGGACCAGCTTGTTTCTCCAAGGCTATCTATCTCTTATTCTTCTATACCCTTCTCATTCATATATTCAGAAAAGTTTGGGGATTTTTTTTTTATTATTTTCTATTCATTTTTGGAATATCTTTATTTTAATTATAAGCGAAAGACAAAAATAACTTGTTCAGAATTACTCAGTTAATAAAGGACAGAATCACAATTTGCACTGGGAAGATTTGACTGAAAAACTGATTTACTGCCAGGCCCAGTGGCATATACCTATAATTCCAGCAACTCAGGAGGCTAAGGCAGAAGAATCGAAAGTTTGAAGTCAACCTCAGCAAATTAGTGAGACGCTAAGCAACTTAGACAGATCTTGCCTTAAAATCTAAAAAAGTCAGGGGGTAGGGCCTTAGAGATGTAACTTAGGGGTAAAGCACCCCTGGGTTCAATCCCCAGGACCCCCGCCCAAAAAAAAGGATCAATTTATCTATTCCTCCTTCTAGCTGTCGTTCTATCATTGGCTATATTCTTGCTCCTAGTCATTATCTATAACTACATAAGAAAATTCCATCACTATTAATACCCTAGGCATTGCTTCTAAGATATCTAATACGCATCTCTACCATAGTCTAAAATAACATGTGATAATTATTGTTGATCTATTATTTCCTTTAAATTGTAAACTCCTTAAAAATACTGCATCTTATTTACATTCAAATCTTCACAAAAATAGTAGTCATATGGTCTTAATATATGCCTAATAACTCAATCAATGGGCCTTAGGGCTCATAACAATTGGAATAGAAAGCATAGTGAGAAAAAAATAATCAGTCTCTTTGGATTGCCTTTGAATTTCCAAATAATAAGTGATGTCAAATCTCTATGTTAGAGAATTAATAACTTGGACTATTCTCAGAAAAACATATACAGTTCCACCTTCATAGAGTTTTCCTCTCACATTTCAGCAAACCCAGTCATGTTTACCCTGTTATTTGCTACCTACTTATACTAAATCAGCCGTCAGAAGTTATTTCCTAATACTGTTTTTAAGGCTAACTAATAGTCACAATAAGGAGCCACAATGGAAAAAAAAAAATTGTTTCCCCTACCGTTCACTTCCTGGTGTAGTAATTCTGTAAAAGCGATGCCTTAAATGGTGTTTATCTCCATGATAACAAACTGTGCACAAATCATAATTTGTACACTCTGCACATTTCCATCGAATGCCAATGATTGGTTGTTGGCGACAGGTGTCACACATAGTTCCATCATGCTTGATGCCTATTAAAACAAAGATACATACTTATATTACTTACAAATACTTATTTGCATATTATTCCCAAGTGGAAAAATTAATACATCATTTTACAAGGTATTTTAATCAAGTAAGGAGAAACACCACTTATACCACATAGTTTCAAGATAAGAGAACTAAAATATTTGGGATGGGCTTGTGGCTCAGCGGTACAGCACTCGTCTCACATTTGCGAGACCCTGGGTTCGATCCTCAGCACCACATATAAGTAAGTAAGTAAGTAAATAAATAAATAAATAAATGTATTGTGTCCAACTACAACTAAAAAATAAATATTTTTAAGAGAGATCTAAAATATGTTAATGGTACAAATTACAAACTAAATATGTTTCTTTCTTTCCCATTCATTAGGAAGAACACAATTCAGGGTTCAATCCCCAAGACTGCAAAAAACAATAAGAATTCCAGTTTTTCTACAGTAAAACTTACCCTTTGATCCCTAAACTGAAACTGAGATTCAATTCAGAGAAAGAAGGAAGAATCCTTTACCACCATATAGATATTACAGACTATAATACTCAAAAATCTTTAGAATCTCAAACTACTCTCCAGATAAACAAATACTGCAAAAGAAAAGACAATTTCATTCTCATGATATGGAAACAAACTATCAATTTAAGCGGTTTACCTATAGGGGATTTTTTTCCGCCAGAAAACAAATTCTAGAAAATGATTAGCAAGCAAGTTTCCCTACTTAAGGGAAAACAATACACCATGATATGGGGTCTTCCCCCAAAGGAAAAAAAGCACTTGGTAAAATGACTCCTACTAAAACTGTTCACACAGATGGATGAGACAGATGTTGAAACTATTAAAAGATACCCTTGGGGCTGAGGCTCTAGCTCAGTGGCAGAGCACTTGCCTAGCATGTGTGAGGCACTGGGTTCAATCCTTAGCACCACATAAAAATAAACAAATAAAAGTCATGCTGGCCAACTATAACCACCAAAAAAATAAGATACCCCTATAAAGTAATGAAAATAACTTTCATTTTAGGGCAATAGGATTGGGGGTAATATACCTTTACTATTCTGTGATATTAATACCATTTGTTCATAAATTAAAACTAGAATTTTTAAAAAATATTTATTTTTTAGTTGTAGTTGGACACGATACCTTTATTTTATTCTTTTTTTTTTTTTTTAAATTTAGTGCTGAGGATACAACCCAGGGCCTCACACATGCTAGGCGAGCACTCTACTGCTGAGCCACAATCCCAGGTCAATGCTAGAATTTTTTGAAACATTTTGTGGCTTCTGAACATTATAAACATATCCTAGATAATCAAGCATAAGGATGTGTAACAGTGACACTCTCCTGGATTAAAGTTCTGGTTCTGTCAATAATTATTTGGTACCCTTGAAGAAAACACTGTAACTGAAGTTTCTACATAAAAAATAAAGGTATTTATTTCAAAATAATTGGAGATGGATAGTGGGAAACTAAGGTGAGATTCAGATGAAAGATTAACCATGCTAAATTGGGTAATGGGTATATAGAGAATCATTATATTCTTCTCTATTATGTCTAAGTTGAGGTACTTTCAATAAATAAAAGAAGCCATTTTCATTCCTAGAACCTTGGTCCCCTTTGGAGAAGGTAATATATTCTTTGGTAGTGAAGCAATGTGTTCTAAAAATCAAATTAAAATGTGGTATAGTTGCAAGAACTACAGTAAAAAAAAATAGTAATATTATTACTAAATTCTACAGGAATTAATACACTATTGCTATTTCCTACAAAGAAGGGGGAACCTCTATTATTCATTTTATATAACCAGAATTAAACCAAGGGGCAACTTGAGTGTAAGCCTGTGTCTGAGCTGAGAAGGTTAAGAGGATGAAGGTAGGAGTAGAAAGAAAGGAGGAAGGATAGAACAAGCCCTAAAATGACTGAAAGGAAACTAGAGCCAGGCCCAATGGCACAAACCTATAATCTCAAATCACTGGGGATTACATGGAGGATCAAAAATTCAAGGCCAGCCTGGGCAACTTAGTGAGACTCTCTCAAAATTTTAAGAGCTCTATCCTCAGAGATGGAGCACTTGCCTAGCATGGACAAGGCCCAAAGGAAGGAAAGAAAGAAAGAGCAATGCCCCACGTTTTATGAAAAATCCCCTGCAGTCTCCTACCACACAAATGCTTGACTGTAGGGACAGGAGGTGTTCTTTACTCCCACTCCAATTGGGGGCAGGCCCTTTGGTATTTTCAAATATCACTCTTTCTGTAGTGCAGTAAAGAGAAATCAAGAAAGTAAAAATGACTAGCAAAAGATCAAGTTATAGGAAGTCTGAAGCATACCAGGTAAATCCATGGTGGTTTGAATTAGAATGGGGACAGGAGAAATGGAGAGCTGAAGTCAAGACTTAGTGACTGGGTCAGAAGAAAAGATATAGAAAGTATGAATCATAAAGCATAAATAAGATCATTCAAGATAAATAAAAATATTAAGAGATATTTAGGGGGCTGGGATTGTGGCTCAGTGGCAGAGCACTTGCCTCATACAAGTGAGGCACTGGGTTCGATCCTCAGCACCACATAAAAATCAATAAACGAAATAAAATATATATTTAAAAAGATATAAAAATATCTATTTAGGAATAGGCAATTAAGCAGCACATTAAACTGAAATCTAGGAACTGTTCTGCTTAAAAACGAGAAGGGAAGTATCAAGAAAAAAATAAATAAGAATATACCAATTAGGGCTATGGGTGCAGCTCAGCATGTGTGAGGTCCTGGATCTGATCCCCAGCACCAAAACAAACAAACAAATAAATCCAGGTCCTCCATTGATAGAAACAGACACCCAAAAAACTAAATCAGAAAAAAGATGAGAAGAGTTTCACAGAAATGATGAGCAAACCCTTTCAAAGAAAGGAAGGAACTCACAGAAGAGCAGAGTGTGTTCAATGAACCAAGTAGTCTCATATTTTAGCAGAAAAGTACAATGTAATCAGAGACTTGGCTAGGAAATAACAAAATCAAATACGATTTCTAACCTGTATATTCATATTACTACACAAAACTATTACAGGCACACATCTGTAGTCCCAGCTACTAAGGAGGGTGTCATAGCAAGATTCCATCTCAAATATTACATAAATATATACGCATACATAAATGCAAAGCCATGTGATTTAAGACCCTAGCTCTGTAACTTGCTAGGTACATAATATTTAAAATCGACTTACACTACTCTAGGACCAATATTGTGAAGTACAAATTGAGAAAACACTTCCTTTCACATGAAGGCTATAGTGACACAGAGATGAACACACTTTGAAGGAATTTAAAGTAAAATGTAAATGCAAGCAGTATTTAATACTGTATTTAATTTTAGTAAGAATTTATGAAATTTACTATTCATCTGCTTAAATAATTTAGTAATAAAAAATCATCAGAATTCCACAATCTTTATACAGAAATCAAAGAACTTAATAGGGTCTCAATTTCTTAGAAACTGCACACAGGAAGCAATTATTCATGTGAAATTAACCCCATTTTAGCAAATTACCCACCTTCTCCATGGCTATTCTCTTATTACTATTTTATCTCACATTTTTCCCCCACATCCTGTGGCTTCCTAGGGGTTGTACTAATCTTCTCAATTCCTTTCGATTATTTTTGATCCAGAGCTACCACACAAAATAGCGATGCATGCCAGCAGATTATGCACCACTTTTTATCAGTTAATAACGATGTCTTCCTTTTATATTGTGCAAATTAAATCTGACTGTATCAATCATGAAATTATTATCAGTTATAGGCCCAAAAGAAACTATATTGAAGCCTAAATGAAATGTGAACTAAAATTTAAAAACCACAGAATTACAGCTACACAACTCAAAGCTATCAATATTTACCAGTATTACATGTTTCAGTCTTTTAGAATATGGATCAAAGGGCCAGGTAGCGCACAAGCCGGGAGGCTGAGGCAAGAGAATGACAAGTTTGAGGCCATCCTCAACAATTTAGAGGGACCCTGTCTCCAAAAAAATAAAAGTAAAAAGGGCTGGGTATGTGACTCAGTGGTTAAGCACCCCTGGGTTCAATCCCTAGATTCCCTTCTAGGGATATAAAATGAATACACAGAAAAGGGCTTGACTTCTTTTTCTGCGGTGCTAGGGATTGAACCCAGGGTTTTTTTCATGCTAGGCAAGCATTTTACCACTGAGTCACAACCCCAGCCCTTGACTTTTTCTCCTTTAATCACAAAAGGATTAAAAAATAAAATCAAAGTACCTAAATAGTCCACACTGGACATCCACATCCATATCCATCCCTTAGGTCATTAAAAAATTACTATATTTTGCTTTAAATATTATCAATTCCATAGAATGTACATTTTGAATAATAATTCTGTAATTATTTCTATAACTATTACTTCCAATAGAAATACAAAATTAAATAAAAAATTACTCTAGTTCACAAAAGATAATTTTTAGGTAAATTCTGAAACCTACTGACAAATTAAAACTATCATAACTATTTGAGCAGAATTATTATTTGAATTTTCATAAAACTGCAATTTTTAAAGAGAAATACCAAGAATCACAACAGATTTTGTTTTAAAATTCACAGAATTGAATAGTAAAATAAACATACCCCTGGCTTTTTTATATATGTATTATATATAAATTATATTCCTAGAAAACTGAGTGTATATTTAAAAGGGAAGAAAGGTATAACTGGTTGTATGTTCCACAGATGGCCATGCTAATTTATGACTCATCCTGTGTGCTTTTTTAGGAGACCCCAAATGACACTCCACCATCAAGAGGTGGATACAGGGCTGAGGTTGTATCACAGTAGTAGAGTACTTGCCTAGCCATGTGTGAGGCACTGGGTTCAATTCTCAGCACCACATATAAATAAAGGTAAACTGACAATTTTAAAAAAATTTAAAAAGAGGTGGATCACTTCTCTCTCCATTGGACCTAAGTAGACATTCCTAATTACTTCAATCA